CACCAGTGTCAAAACCTGGGACATCCCATCTCTGAAATTAAAGACATAATTTTCCTTCCCCAGTAGGACCTGTACTAATTCTTTCAGTATGGGTAGCTGTAAATTTATGCAGCCTGAGCAAATATCCACAAGTAAGGAGGTTCTAGTGTATGAATCTAAACAAACCCACACAGTAATTGCGTATTAAAGATTATATTTAGGGATGTCCATGTCTGTAAAAAAAACAAAAATATATATATATATAGCAAGGATTTGTGATGCTTCTTCAGTTCCTCTAGAGATGAGTGCATTAAACTGATAGATGGATTTATCTGGTATTTCTAACACCCTATTTTGCTGCAAAACCATATATCAGGGGTTTGCTGTTCCAACAAAAATAAAATGGGTTTAAAATATGTGAAGAAGTAAAGTAGAGCTGTCCTCCTTTCTTATTCATATCCTTAATTTTATTTACCAGGAACACAGAACTATAATGGCTTAAGTGTGTTCAGTGTCCTTCCAATAGAAGGAGAAATTGCTGCTGGGAAGAGTCAGGATTTTATTGTTACTTTCAGTCCTGATCATGAAAGTCTGTACTATTCTGACCGTCTCACGGTTGTGCTCTTTGGCAAGGTGAGACAATCAAGATACCTGGATTATGAAATCAAAGTCTAAATATGACCTACAGTGATTTTTATCAGCATGGGTCTTAGTAGGAGTTTCAGATAATTATATCTAGTGGACAGCATTTGCAGGCAGAAATACTATCTTTATTAGATTAACTGATGTAGGTAGGAGATGGCAGATTTGAGGCCCACTGACTTTTTTTCAAGTTTTAAATATTCAGTAAGTATTCAGTATTAATCAGTTCAGTATTAATTCATAACAATAGTGACTTGGGATTCAGTCCTATCTTCTGCCCCATCACTTCCTCGTGTAAACGAGAGGTTATGTGAGCTAGGTGCTGCCACACTGCTGAGCACAGCGCCAAGTGGGTTCTCTGCAAGTAGCGTTTAATGGCAGCAGAGAGTGGAGCTACGCCCGCGCAGTGCAAACTGGCAGGTGCGCTGAGTACCGGGGAGCTGCTTCTGCAGTCACTCAGCATGAGGAAGGGATTTCCATCTGTAGAGCAGCAGCTGAGCTCAGATGGAGCCCAAGTCAGGACATACAGGCTGGCGGCATAGCAGGTGGCTTTATGCCGTGTTCCAAAAGGGACTGACCAAAAGTTAACGAAGAGTGCCAGCTAATGACCATCAGCAGGCACTGCAAACACAGAGCAGAAACTGGTAGTGAGCAAGTACGTACTGTTTTTCTCCTTGCAAGTTTTGTATCTCCAGATTATCTTTGAGTTGCGGTTAAGAATGCAAATCGGGATAAACTGAAGACGAATGGAGACTGGTCCTAGTTCACAAACTTTAGCCGATTTTCACAGCAGATTTGCCTCTTTTAGTGGCTTTAGTAATAGATAGTTTGTCCAGTCCCCTCCTGAGGCACGTTGCCCAAGAATGAAAGGTTGTTTAAAATAGAAGTGCCCGAGTTGACAAGACAAGGGGAAGGTGCAGGATTCTTGCGTTGAGAGTACAGGGCCTCTTGGCATTTATATAGGCAGATGATGTAATAATTTCTCTGTAACTGATGCTGTTGTGTCAGTATTCCAGTTACATTGGTACTTAAGCTGTAACCTGCATTTGAATAATTCTTGTCCTACATAGAAAATAGCCCATGTGATCCGCCTAAAGGGTGCAGCAAGAGATCACCCAATGTTTGTGGAAGGGGGAATTCCACTAGATGTGCCCATTGAGTCCTTGGCTGTAACATTACCTGTGTCGTCACTGGAAGCACTAAAAGGAGGTAACGTGCTACCACTTACACTTTCTTACAAAACAGTGAGAGTGATAAGACATTGGGATGTTCCTCATCCTGTGAGAAAAAAGTAAATTAAAGATAGCTTTTCCAGAATCAGAACAAATAAGTGTTATGGTATAGCCTATATTTATAAAACAACAAAAAAAATGCAGGAAACTTTCTCTCCAGGAAAGATTTTTCTCTTAATTTTAATGCAATTATATCTTAATGATGGTCTTCTGTCTTTGCAATTTACCTTGCAAAAATGATTATAATTTAATACTACTATGATGTATTGAGATGTATTTGCTTTCTGACACTTCTCTGACTTGCATTAAATGTTTATAAAATTATTTTGTGTATGATAACATATCCTGGACTCTCCCAGTTGTACTCTTATGAAACAGACACACTTTCAGGGGTTGGAGTTTATCCTTCCCTAATTTCTTAGGACAGGATCTGTGTTCAGAGACAGTATATAATCAACTCTTAGCTCCTGAGCTACAAATAAATCCAAGCACATACTATACACAAGCAGGAAGATAGTACACACAATGTATGTGCCATGGGGCTAGAAAATTAGCATGAAACTTGATACAACAATTAACAATTACAGTTAGCAATTGCAAATTATGCAAAACCTCCTTTTGCTTAATTCTTCACTGACTCTGTAAGGAGGATCTCCTTACCCACACCAAATCATTAATTTGCCACATCGCCACTTCGTTTTGAACCATCCTCATATCATTTATGCTTGCTTGAAACTGATAATTGCTCACTTTTGACTGTCTCAAAGTTTACTTGATTCGTATTTGTTTAGAGCCACAAGAACCAGTGAAGTCCATACTCCTCATTCTGGAGTACATCGAGGGAGAGAGTTCTCCAGTGCCAGCGATGACAGAACTGAAAGTTGGAGCTATACAGACGACTCAGTTTGCATCTAAGAAGGTGAAGGAAATAAAAAGTGCAATTTTATGTCAGATGCCGTAAGGAATACTGACAGTGTACAAATGGCCATTAGTTCTTTCTGTCAAAAATTGAGTCTAAATTTAAAAACACAGCTTTCAGGGTTTCTGCTACACTTCACGTTATAAAAGCATCAGTGTTTGCAAAGAAAAGGTTATTTTTCAGGGGTTAATATGAGGAATTAGCATTATCATATTAAGTAACAAAGTTAATTTAGCAGTTTGCTGCCCTAATTCTGAAAAACAGAAGTTTGAGCACAGAACTAAATTACAGGTCTGATCCTGTTCTTTTCGTATAGTATTTTGTGACAACCTGGCCAATGAGCAAGACAGATACTTGCAGTTTCAAAGGGCAGCAACTTGGCAAGCCATAGGCCCACGTACAGCATCTGGGCAATGCAGCCAGTCGTTGCGTTTGAAGGAGCGGAACCGGGTGTAATGAGGGTGTGTTGTGTGTGTCTCTCGTAGAACGTGGAGTTCAGTTTTGATAGCCTGCCACTCTTGCAGCAGAAGGGATTCACTATCGAATCTGTGAAGGGAACGATTGAGCGTGGTCAAGTAAAATGCATCAGTGTTTCCTGGGTGCCACCTGCTGACTTTCATGTAAGTTACAGTTGCTGCGGCACGTTGCTGCCCCAACTGGAAGTGTGTGGCAGCTGTTCTCACCGGCTTGTGGGAGCAATGCAAGAGCTGATCTTAAGATGCCAGCAGTCCGGGCTGCTTTGACACATTAGGATGATGGAACACATGTAGTTACCAAAGGGGTATAGGCTGGTATAAACACTGTTATGAGAATAAAAGCCAGGAAAAATATGTATGACTTGCTACCTCACCATGGACTTCCATTCATTAGCGTGATGAAAAGAACAAGCGTTAGTCACTTGCATCTTACAGAACTTAGAATAAGTTCTTACAGGTCACTGCATTATTTAGTGCCAAAAGACCAACATGCTGCTGCTGCTAACTACAAGACACAGTTCTGATCACACTGAAGTGAGTTTTTTAATGTCCCTTGTGGAAGAAAACCTGCAGTCCTGCTGACACAGAACTAAGTTTACGTGGATCGTTCTGCTGTAGGGTTCACACTTCTTTTGGCTGTGGGCTGCCTTTCCTTTGGTATATTCCTGGAAGTCAGTGGAGCCCTTTTGATTTTCCACTTTATCAACCCTGTTTGCCTGGCTACTTCTGCCATTTTGTATGGCAGATTCCAGGTGTGAGGTCCAAACATCTCTACAGGGCTGTGATTGCCCTTCCTGGTTCATCATCTTGGGCATTCACGGAGACTGAAAGAATTTACTCCCCTGCTTTTTGTTGTGAGCTGTGTGTGGGATGGCAGAATGAGTAGCTTGTTCCAAAGTTAAAAGATTGCTGCTATCATGTGCAGAATGAAGGCAGTAGAGTTCCTGGTGTGATGCATCAGGTTGACATCGTGCATCCTGGTAATCACTGGTTGTTACACAAGATTTAACACTATCTGATGGCAAAAAGGATCCATTTCTTTCCCAGCCCTCACTGCAGTGTACTCTGCTACTGCTGTGCCCAGTTGTCATGGTTGTAATGTGGTGACGATATCTGTAGCACTCTGGAGACAGGATGCTTAGTCATTGCTACTTAACTTACTGCAGTATGAGCATTGTGAGAAATCATAAAAGAGCCAATACAGTGGGAAGAGAGGTCATCTATAGCTATAACTGGTACCTCTTACAACTGAGATGTAAAATACGTAGCTTAGAACTTTATCAAGTATTCTGTCCTATGTGCAAAAAAAAAAGGTTGGTTTTATGTGTGGATTTTTTTTAGGCCGATGACCCTCTGCTTGTGACAGCCCTCCTGACCTTAAGAGGTGACGTTAAGGAATCTTACCGAATCCTCTTCATGGCAAAAGTTGTGTCTGCACATTCTGCCACTAAGTGAGGTACCCTAGCTAAATGGACAGGAAGGTGGCAGCTTATATTACTGGGAAACCATTGGATCTCAGTTGAAACATGGAAAGATGTTGAGATTGTTGCAAATATGTGAGGGGAGCAGGGAAGCGGGAGGGAAGGTGACGTGTAATATTTCTACTTCCCCCCCCCCCCAAAATTCTATGTAAACTCTGGTTCCACTAGTTTCATTTTCAGGCTGACTCTGTGGTAGAAGAAGAATTAATAAGGGGCCCAAGTAGATGCATCTGCTGTTAATCAGTGTCTTCCAAAGGTGGGCATTCCCTCAGGAGCAGTAGCTTTTTCACACCTGCATGGGTGAGTTTCAAACAATGTATCTTTTTCCAATTTCAGATGCATTGTGATGGATTTGCAAAATCCTTGGGTTTTTTCCCCCTCTTAAGACCAGAATAAAGCTTCTTATTCAAGTCTCCTTCAAATTGTTTGTGCAGTCATTTTTACAGCCCGCTATGAAATCTTTCCTAATGACACATGGTCAAGGAGGAAGTAGCGACCATGCAGTTCACTGACTTGCTGGGTGTGGTTAGACACTTGCCCTACATCATGGCTGTCCAGGAACTCTCTGTTCCTACGTTTTCTTTCCTCTGAATTCTGACTAAGAGTAGATTTCTGCCTGTTACTGGGGAAGTTGGAATGCCCTGCAGGTATAACTTCTGTCAGGAAGCAGTAGCTAGTGCAGGGAAGAGTAGGGAGGCATGACACTATGGGGAATGAAGGGACCAGGAAGTTAGCGGAAATCTAGAAACATAGATAATTTTTTACATCTTGTATCATGCTCTTTCTTGAGTCACAGTAAGTCTGTGGCAAGATTCCCTCACCACCACTCCAAAGGCATATTGCCATTTGGCCCTGTGTGGCTGTTAAAATTGCTTATTTAGATTATACAGTGGGAAAATAGAAACAGAGTATTTGTAAATATCCCTAAGGTAAAATGTGTCAAGCTAGTTGAGCTGCAGGAAAAAGCAGTAAAGCAATTGTCACAAGAAATACTTTTAACTAGTTTAGCCCTGTTATAGAGGAAGCTTGTATAGCTTCCTTGTTTTTCCAAAGGCAGTATGTTTGATCCATTCAGATCTGTTCTCATTTAATAATGGATCAAGTGGCTGCGAAGTTACTTAACTCTTCAGCCTGAAGCACTATAGATGCTGAAGAAATAAACAGTCACCATGGGAGTAGGCAGGAGCTGGGAGGGGGGTGGCAGTGCTAGCCAGAGACAGCTCTGCCCGTGTAAGAGCTGCACTGAGTATTTCTGCTGGCACAGCTGGGGCAGTCAGGTTGAAGTTGAGGACAATGAAGTTTGTGTGCTGATTCTCTTAGGGCTGCAAGGACTGTAAAAGGGAGATTAAATACCACTACATAAAATGAAACTGTTGCAAATAGTACCGCAGGGTTGACAGTTACCTACTGACCGGGAAATTTGCAGAAAGCAAGGAAGAGCACAGCATGTTGGGAGTGAAGGCGTATGTCAGACAGTTAATTTGGGGACATCCATTATGTGAGGATCCTTTGGATTTCACTCTTGGAAACTGAAAAGTAATGGCTGAGAATAAATTAGTCTCCAGACGCTCATAACCGTGTAATGTGCTGAAAGTAAGTGTAAAATTATCTATCAGGAAACACCACCTCTGTCTTAGAAATCTTCCACTTCCTAGAAGTCAGGTACTGTGAAAAAGCATCCAAAGGATTAAATAAAAGTAAAAAATGTAAAGAATATATTTAAAGAATGTGACGATGTTGAAAAAAATGTAGAGATTGCTTGCAAGAATAAGAAAAAAGCTTAGTAAGTAGAAGGAAGGTGTATACGCAAGGACTAGCTGGTTCCGACCAGTAGCATTTTCTTGGACACTGAATCTGAATGACTCGTAACAACTCCGGAGGGTTCCGGATGCGCCCATTCAGTTGTAGAAGTTGGAGGGTCAGGCACATTATATTAGTGCCTTCGGAAAGTTAAGCTGGTTATAAAAAGCAGCTTTCACGGACCGGTTTAAGTAATTGTCTGTACTGACTAGCTTAGAAGGTAAGCAAAGGGTGTAACCCATTTGTATCTGCATTCTTTGGACTTGATCTTGAAAACTCGTGAATAATTTCACAGACTTGAAGTGAGCATAAGGTTCTGGGTTTCACTGGTCAAAGTTTCTGTGCTTAAAGCTAAATGTGTATTCATTCTCTCGAGGGGGAGTGTTGAACCATGATGATAAGAATAGGTTGCTATTTCTGGAGTACTGAAAATAAAGAAAACTATGCTTGCAATATACCAGCTGACATTCTGTAAAGCACTTAGGGAGATCTGAATGGTTTTTATTCTCTTCCACGAGAGAAAAGCCTGGTTTTTTACCTTGGTCCTCAAAAGTAATCATATTTGACTTCTTGGGGACTTATCGGCTGATCCTTGCAGGATTGGGTTTTCCCTTCTTAGTGGATTGGTTTTGTTCTTTTGGCCTACGTGCCCAGCTCTTGCATGAAGCAGTACTTGAGCACAGAGAGACAAGGTGATGTGAAAAGAAGAAAATAAATTGTCTGATGTGGGAAAGCAGATGCACTGTAAAACTTAACGCAGGCATGCGGCCTATGCTTCTTTATCTGGAACACAACTAAAACGTAAAAAGTGAAAGCACAGTTACTTCTTGTGCAGAATGTAGTCCTTGGGTGTTCCAATACCATTCAAATGAGAATTACCACATTTCACCAAGGGATAGAAAACAGCGTGATCCTTTCCAGGATGAAACAACTAATCCTCTGATACATTTGCTGCAGTTCTTGGGCTTGATTTAGCATTTAACTGAAGTTTACCGATCTATAGCAGAGTGGAATATATAGGTTTCCCTTACTAGGCATCTGACAGAGCTTGTTTCTTTGACTAAGCTGACTCTGGAAAACTGGAAAAAACTCTTTTCACTGGAAAAGTCAGTGCCTAAACCCTGTGACAGTTGTGTGCTGTTTCATCACTGGGACTCTTCACTTGCCTCAAACCTCTTGCTTATGTGTGTGGATATTGAGCAAGCAAGCCAAGTATTCAATAATAGATCTGACTTCTAAAACCAAAATAACTAAAATAATTGCAGTTAGATTAACATAATTACTTTTGCTATACCTTTTAATTGGTGCTGAGCCTCTTTAGAATCTTCACAATGCAAATTTGCAATGATCCGAGGTGTACACTGGCAGGCTGCTGAAAATTTGAGAATGCTGTGTGGATGCTCCTATCTAAACAGTCCTTATGTATAATGTATATGAAAATAGCTCCTTCATTTTTGTCCAATACAGGAAATGGAAAATTGACTGAGATGACTGACTACTGGAAACAATTCTCCTGCTGATTTAGACACACCAAGCAGAACTAGAAATAGGGGGTTTGCAGGTAATTCCTTGAGGACGGAGCTGAGCGCGCTATTGCGTTCTACTTGCATGGCTTAGTGCCAAGTTCACAACTACCAGAAGCAGCTCAACACAGCAGCTCTAGCCTTCCTGCAAGTTGATCTCTTGAAGAAGCAAAAAATCCTGTTCAATACCGTGCTTCCAAAGCAGGTTATCAACAATCATAGCACATTTGGTACCCTAATTGCCAGGAGATTCTAAATATGTAATCTGACATTTCTGTTTCCATATTATAGGACTGCAATAGGGATGGAGCCTTTATTGTGAGGAGAATATGGAAAATGTAACCTCAGAAATATATCGAAGTTTTCCAGAAGCTTAAGTTTTCTGCTCTTCTAACTCCGCTTCTGAACATTATGCTTCCAGACTGAGTTTTGCAACTGTGATTACTCTTGGATCACCGGACACAAACTCTTGTGCTATCAGATTTGGATCTAAATGCAAACGTATACTTCTTGGCTCTGATGGAGCTCTAGTTCAATAAGAAAGCAATTTGCATACATGTATGATCTTTATAATCCTTAAAAGCTATATCTAGCTCCTTTCTAAAACAGAACGGAAGTGAGAGAATAAGTACTAGTGCAATACGCATCTTATTAACACATGTTCTGCTTATCCAGTGACTTCAGAGATTGCTTCACACTTATGAATGCAGCTTTTCCTAAATGAGCAATGGTCCCATGACCCTGAGCAGTCCTGTAGGAAAATACTTTAGTCAGTATGCCACATGGCCATTACAAAATCCTTGCATTTCATCCCATTCTCATTACTGGAGGAGCTCTTACATGTGCACCCAAGGCACATCTCTGAGGATATCAGGGCCCTCAACAGATATGTCAAAATGCCATTCTTTTAGTTGATCATCCCCTTTCTTCTCCAGTTGAAATCTTTATAATCCATTAATTAGCGCCTTGCTTTTCAGCTCTAGATGTCGTTTTGTTGCTTACCCAGTCACGTATCATGATCACCCTGATTCTGATCATCTCTTATATTGACTAACGTTTTCTTTTGCCATGTAACTGACCTCTGCTATATTAGTGCTTCAAAGGTGTCCAACCTTTAAGTCACCTTCTACTCTGAAGCAGAAGTAACCCTTGCTCATTCATATTGTCGATACAGTTGACCTTTGGCACATGTTTTGTTCTTCCCTGGTTACCTTAGACTTTGGTAACTCATAGCACATCCTAACTGCTAAACGGCCTTGGGGAACCTTTTAACACTATGGGCTTCATACAATCCTCTTAAAAGAGCCAGAGTTCACCCCGAAGAGAATTACAGGAAAGCTGTCCCTTAGAGATGGGCCCAATTGCTGTAATGGTCAGTATAATCACAGCAATGACAGCACTTTCTCCATGAAATTTCTACCAAAGAGTATCAGCCCTAGGGATTTAGGATAACGATGTGCAAGATAGCCGTAAACCGACAGGCAGATATTTCAGTTGAATTTCTACATTTGAAATGTTGGGCGTAGTTAAATTACTTTGGAGCAACCCGATCTTCAGAGAGCAGCCAACACCTTTTCATTCACGTGCCATGTGTTTTAACAAGACTATGTTTGAGAAGGGAAATGATCTTCTTTTCCAAACCTTTGT